CAGTTTCACAGACCCACTTTATCCTTGTCTAGAGTTAATGAGATCAGAATAAAACCAAACAAATACTCCTAGAGTCCAGCACTTCGCAGACTGTGGTGATAGATTAGAGCACCAGAAATAAACCACATTCATTGTCATAGAGGACAGAGTCGGGACAATGGTGTCTCTCCTCTACCTGTAACTCCTGTCTGTGGACCTAGAGAGTCCTAACCCAGGAGGACTGTTTTGGGGGTAGAAGGAATGAGAGCCAAGGCCCTAACTTCTAATCCCATGCTTCCACCGGGGCAAGACTGGAAACCACGGTGTAGGGCATTAATGGCAGGCTTTGGAATCCGTCACTAACACTGCCACTGTCTCCAACAGCGGTGAGGAGCTGCACTAAGATTTCATCCCAAGTTACCTAACCTCCCCTAGCCTTGAGCTTCTTACCTATAAAGTGGCAAAATAATAGGAACTGCAGCTTAATATGAATGAAACATCCAGTCAAGAGGCTGTGAGATGCAGTGTGGAGAGCCAGACTCCTGGGTTCAAATACCAGTGCAATTATTTACATGCTGTGTGATCCAGGGAAAGCACATGGGCCTCTCTGTTTTACTGTGTCACCCCCAAACCGGGCTATCATAATGCTATAACACAAAAGAGCTTCTGTGGCAATGTCTGCATTGCTATAGAAACGGGGCTGATATGTTTTTGGAAAAGTTTTAAATATTGTTTGTAAAGACATGAAAATGAAAATAATTTCTGACACTCTGCTTCTCTGTTTGGTTCTATTAAATATAAAATATTAGATATAAAAACACCAACCCACAGTGATAATGTTATAATGTTGGAATAATCTTTGTTTTCTAGTAACTTGGCAATGTCGTCCACATAACAGTCTCCCTGTTTGAAGATTACATATTGGTGTATTTAAGCCAAATCTTAATTAAGATCGATGCTTCCTAATTTACTTAAACCGAATGCCATTTAATTAATCCCTGCACCCAATTCTTTTCTCCCTCTGAATGTTAAAGTCAGTGATTTTCACAGAAGAGAGATTTACACATACTGGGAGGAGGATAAATGCACCAAACACTTGTTCGGGACAGTTTCCAGTTCCGGCCGTCCTGCGGTTCCCTCACAGCACCCATTTTAATTCCCGCCATTCATTCATTCATTCATTCATTCATTCATTCACTCACTCACTCACTCATTCAGCATTTACTGAGCAGACTTGTCGGGCACCATGATAAGTGGTGGAAAACAATGATTCTGACACTTGAATGGTGTTTTACAGCTTACAGATCATTTTCACATATATAAAATTCATTAAGTGCTCGGAGGCACTCACTTCATTTCGCTCCAGTTATCCCTTCCCGTTTAGCTTTGCTTTTCTCCTGATGTTCCTTTCCTCGAATCACTGCAGAGTATTTTCTAAGTGCTTTGGTGGGGTGAGGTGGGGGTGGCGACCGCGGGTTGGAAACGCGGGTGGTAAGTAGGCATAAGACAAGATTGTAGGCTAGAAACGCTTCTAGAAGCTTATGCTTTAGTTTCCTGGTCCAACTTCTTGCAAGGCGTGTTCCCTTTTACTTGGGAAAGTGCAGGGAGTCACATGGAAAAGACCAGAGATCATCAATGTGTCCTTCGCCAGACATAGGGAGGATGCTTTCTGAAGTCTTTCTGGATCTCCATCCAGTTGGGTTTATTTAACATTCTGGATGCTCTATAGAGCTATGACCTCCCCCGACGCCCCCCCCCCAACATACCCAGGCCAATAGATCTAAGCATCCAAATCATTAACTTTTGTGACACTAACCGACGGGCAAGAATTAAAAGACACAAAATCAATAGGAAAATTATTTTCATATAATTGTGTCTTAAAATCTCCATTTAATCTATTGATGTCTGTCATGCACACAGGAAATGCCAGGGACTCTTTTGTGGGAAGGGCTTGCAGTGGATGACTGTGTCATCTCAAGAGGTAGAGCACAATGGCTGTCTGTGGCATCGTTGGCACACAGCATCTCTCAGTGTGCAGTCAGCGGCCGTGTCAAGGGCACTTTGGTGCTTACAGGATACAGGTGGATGGCACGGGGCATAAACCTGTGCTTTGAGACAAACACATTCCACACCCCGGCCCCTTGGACTTGTTTAACATCTGCCTAGGATGCTGCTATTCTAGAATGTACCACGGTTTTCTCTTTTCAGTTACATTGTCATTTCCACAGAGACACCGTTCCCAGAAGATAAATGTGTTATCTTCACATTTGCCCATTTATTTCATCTCAAGAATTGTTGTTTTGTGATGGTTAATACTACCTGAACTCACTCTCTTTCCCTCCTCCCTCCCTCCCTCCCTCCCTCCCTCTCTCTCTCTCTCTCTCCCTCTCCCTCTCTCTCTCTCTCTCTCTCTCTCTCTCTCTCTCTCTCTCTCTCTCTCCCCCCCCTTTCTCTGTACTATAAACTCTAAGAGGGCTGCGATCATTTTCTAACACACTTCCTGGAACACAGTGGTAGACCTTGAATGAATATTGATGGGTTGGTGAATGAGCAAAATACTTCTAAGATAATTATAAAACCCCAGCTGTGTTCTAGATACTAAGGATACAAGCCGACCAACATCCCTAAACCTTTCGGATCTTACGTTCTGACCCAGGGGAAGAGACTTTCAACAGATAAGGCAGGGAAGGGAAGGCATCCGGAAGATAGCTGGGTGTCACCACACAGGGTGATGGGGAAAGGGCACCTGGGGAGGTAAGGAGAGTAGAGGCGTGCACAGCGTGGGGGGAGGATGGGCCATAGGCAAAGAGAAAAAGAAGGGCCAGGAGTCTGTGTGGTCAGACACATGGCGTTCTTTGTGAAGTGTTAAGGGATGGACCGGAGAAGCGGTCGGACACAAGCGTGCAGTCTTTCAGGTCGCAGAAGGGCTTTGGTTTTGCTCTTGTGTGAGCGGGGAAGATCTGTAGAGCTCCGAGCAGACTGACACACCCGATGCAGGGTCTGACTGGATCCTCCTTTTGTTCTAGTGATAAGAGACTGATGGGACCGGGATGGAAGCAGAAGACCCAGGCAGCGGACATTTGAGGAGGAGAGGCTGGTGTGGTCCAGAGGGGTGGCACCGAGTTGGTGAAATCCCTGAGACAGGAGGATCTTGAAGGGAGACCTGACAGAACCTACGGAAACAATGTTCAAAAGTAATGACCCAGCTGTGCCACAGAAAAGAGCCAGTTTAGTCAGGCCCCGGATGCGATGTAACAGACTCTGTGTTGGGATTTGGAACTCTTGGGTCAACTATCACTCATCCCAAAGAACAGTACAAAAATGGAGCAATATATTCAGTACCAAAAACCCGTGCTTGGGTTAAGCAGCCGGGTCTGGGGCGTGATCTTCTTTCAGCTCTCTGACATGAGTGCAATAATTGCTCAGCAGACATGAACATTTCAAAAATGAAAATGACACTCATCCGTGAGAAGCCTAGCAAGCTCCTCAGATGGTTGAACAAAGGATAAATATCATTATCGAGAACAAAGATCTTTCCTGACTTACTGGGATCTACAGCCTGTCCTTCAAAGTGATCTGGTAACTGTTCAGATCCCCAAGCCTCATGGCTGCTCTCAAGGAGCCTGGGCTGTTCTTCAGCCTTGAACTCCTCACAGCCTGACACTGAGGACAGAACAGGGTTCATTAACCTCATGGTTTCTGAGGCTCTCCTCTTACCTCCGTCTTCTGGAATCTCTTGCCTGTGTGTTTACCCAAACCAACAACCACATAACCACCCGCAAATCTGGCATTTCTGAATGAGTCGAGTGCAGAGATGGACATTTGGAGAGCAAGCTGTCTCATTCCTTCGGAGACCAGGGAAGGCTTCCTGACAGAGGAGTAGTTCTGTGGGCTGCAACTTGTGCATGACCACAGAGGTGCAGGAAGTAGGAGGCCGTAGAGACCAGGGCGGGAGCTAAAGGCCTTCAAACGTCCACATCCGCTTCTGCTCTGGTGCATTGTCTTGTGAAGCCCAGAAGAGAAAGCAGGCGGGACCGGAAGCAAGTGCTCCTGGACCTCTAGAGTAGCTGTGCAGGGGCAGAACGCTGACTTCTTGTACATGTGCATTAAAAATTTAAGGGGCAAATACAATATTACTAACAAATGCCTTGAAGTGGAATTTTCTGGTGTGATTCACAGGTGGCTGGAAGGAACCCAAGGCCTCACATTCTGCTTTCGGCGCTTGGTGGCTTCATGGGGACACAATATAAGCCCCACCGTTCGCCCACCCAGCTTCCTCTCCTAGCCGGTTCTGCTCACTGCAGTCCTGTGTTGAGGTTTCCTGACCAGAGTTTGTGCACTCTCAAAGTAAACTATCATAGCATCCTCGTATTCATTCGCTTGTGGGTTTTTTTTTTCTTTTTTAGGTCATTTTGCAGTCACGTGAAAACCTTTGGGTGATCTGGGGTTGGAGTGACCTCTATGTCCCCGCAGAGCACGCTCATGTCTCTCTTCCGAACTTCCAGAGGCCCGGGGATGCTCGGCCTCAGCTCTCTCTCTCTGCACAGAGAGAAGCGGGTTAGTCTAGAGGGCGCTAGGCTGCGGGCTAGCAAGCCTTTCCCACTCTGCCAGAAAGTTTCCGACCCCCTTCTGGAGTCCCCTGCTGCGGGCTGCGGTCGGCCGGGAAGAGGGACACAAGCTGATCGCTCTAGAGAACAGCCTTGTGGGGGAAGCGCCCGAGGCTCTGACCCATTGCGGAAGAGGAAGGAGAGCTGGGTCTCGGGGTGCGACACCGGTGGGTGGGCGGGCGGTGACAGTCTGGTCGCCCCCCGGAGCGCGAGGGTCAGGGTGGAGCCTGCAGCCCCGAGCCGCGTCAGCGTTTAGCAGGCAAATCCATTCCCCGCTCCTCCTTCCCCCACCCAGCCCTCCCCAGCCCTCCCCGCCCCGGGAGCGAGCTCAGCGGCTCCGCAGCCGCCCACGCCTCCTGCGCGCAGCGGCGCCCGAGCGGGCGGCTCTACTTAAGCGGCGCGCGGGCCGCGACCCGCCACTCGCCTGGAGCGCGCGGGCGAGGCGGGCGCAGCGCACCGGGGGCTCTCGTGGGCGCACAGCTGCGCGCTCGCACCGCGCGGCTCTCGGTGGCGGCGGCGGCCGCCCGAAACGCGGGGCTCCCGGGGTGAAAGCCGCTGCAGCTCCCGATCGCGACCCCGCTCCCCGTCCCTGGTCCCATCCCGGCCACCTCTTCGGCCATGGCTCTGGCGGACAGCACCCGAGGATTACCCAACGGGGGTGGAGGCGGCGGGGGTGGCAGCGGCTCGTCGTCGTCCTCGGCGGAGCCGCCGCTCTTCCCGGACATCGTGGAGCTGAACGTGGGGGGGCAGGTGTATGTGACCCGGCGCTGCACCGTGGTGTCGGTGCCCGACTCGCTGCTCTGGCGTATGTTCACGCAGCAGCAGCCGCAGGAGCTGGCCCGGGACAGCAAAGGCCGCTTCTTTTTGGATCGGGACGGCTTCCTTTTCCGCTACATCCTGGACTACCTGCGGGACTTGCAGCTCGTGCTGCCCGACTACTTCCCGGAGCGCAGCCGGCTGCAGCGCGAGGCCGAGTACTTCGAGCTGCCCGAGCTCGTGCGTCGCCTCGGGGCGCCCCAGCAGCCGGGTCCCGGGCCCCCGCCGCCGCACTCGCGCCGCGGGGTTCACAAGGAGGGCTCCGTGGGCGACGAGCTGCTGCCCCTGGGCTACTCGGAGACCGAGCCGCCGCAGGAGGGCGCCTCGGCCGGGGCTCCGTCGCCCACGCTGGAGCTGGCTAGCCGCAGCCCGTCCGGGGGCGCGGCGGGTCCCCTGCTCACGCCGTCCCAGTCTTTGGACGGCAGCCGGCGCTCCGGCTACATCACCATCGGCTACCGCGGCTCCTACACCATCGGGCGCGACGCCCAGGCGGACGCCAAGTTCCGGCGGGTGGCGCGCATCACCGTGTGCGGCAAGACGTCCCTGGCCAAGGAGGTGTTTGGGGACACCCTGAATGAGAGCCGGGACCCCGACAGGCCCCCGGAGCGCTACACCTCGCGCTATTACCTCAAGTTCAACTTCCTAGAGCAGGCCTTCGACAAGCTGTCCGAGTCCGGCTTCCACATGGTGGCGTGCAGCTCCACAGGCACCTGCGCCTTTGCGAGCAGCACCGACCAGAGCGAGGACAAGATCTGGACCAGCTACACCGAGTACGTCTTCTGCAGGGAGTGAGCTCCCCAGACCCCTTGCCACTCCTGCGCCCACTCCGCTTCCTCCACGCGGGGCAGAGGGCAGGATTATAGATGTCCTAGCCCCCTTCCCCTCGTGTCCTGGTTCCCACTGTCCCCTACCCCCTCCGCCCCCAGTAGCTCACCCAGACGGGTCAGCTCCCTTGAGAATCGCAGCCACAGATCTTCTGGGCTTCTTCGCCTTCTTTGGACCCCGCTAACCGAGAGTGCTCAGACGCAGCCCTTCACCCATGCTTCCTCGACTCCTGGCCTCCAACCACCCTTCCCCCAGATTGTACTTGAGTGGACGTCTAGCGGGGCAGTGCGGGCACAAAGTCACCAAGTTCCTGGGGATGACTGACTTGTTCAGAACCCGATTGGACTGTGTCCAGCGAGTGTGCGGAAGAGTCTTTGATAGAGGTTTCCGAGATGAGAACTGAGAGTCGTGTGTGGAGACAGTGTTTCAAACGGTTATTACAGACTTGCTCTTCATTAGAGAGGAAAAGTCTTAGACGACTGAATGGAAGACTGTAAGGCTGGGATTAAGGCCCCATGGAGGGAGTGAGTTCAGAGGCTGTATGTAAATAAAGTAACTTTTTTTTTTTTAAAGTTACAGGTAGAAGTAAAGCCTAGTCCTGGTAACCGGAGGTTCCTGTTTTCCCCACACAATACATCTCCTGTTGCTTAAAATTGTAGAAAGCAATCCTTCCGCCTGCGGAGGCGCCTTTTCTTGCCAGCATTTGCCTGAGCTTTAGGTTTTATTGGCTAAGGCAGCAGGGAGCAGGAGGCCAGGCTGCCCAGGCCTCCAGAGCTGCAGGAAATCACCAGGTACTAATGCAGGACTGTTAGGAGGATCTTACAGCCCTACAGCCCTTAGGTTTAGGACTAGTGGGAGGGTCAGGGAGGGAGGAAGGAGGGGAGGAAGGGCGGGAAGGGAGGAGAGGACATACTCATTTATTATTTGAAAGTTGGAAGTTTGTGCCATCCATTTGAGTACCTGCACTTTTAAAAAATATCAAACAGTACTTGTAAACTTGGATTTTTCTCAAAATTAGTAAAAGCCCACTTTCAGCTGGAAGCTTATCGAGCTATTTTGAGTCCTAAACTTTTAAGTTACTAACACTTGTATAACCTAACCAAAGAGTTATCTAGTAGAGTTTTTTAGTGGTTTGAACGTTTGTTTTCTTGTTGATTATATTTCCTTATTTTATAACCCATTTACTTAAGTAAAGTAAGTTTGATTTTAGCTACTTAGACTTCAGATCTCTTATTATTATTTTTAAATTACTGTTTTTCCTCTGACCCCAGCAAGTATGGACTGCTGGGCAGTTCTGAAAACGTGAACAACGCCATTTCTTTCTTGTGTTTGTTCGACGTTTCAGTGGACTCTTTTTCTGTGACAGAGCTGAAGATAAACTAAGCCCCCGGAGCCGCCCGTCTGTAGACAGCTGTGAAGTGAAATGTTCTTAAATGAAGGCGAATAAATACTTCCGTGTGAGCTGAGCAATAACATGGTGTTTTAGGTAAATGCAGCAGTGACAGGAGAAGACCTGATGCCTTTACTCACCTGGAGTGAATTCCTAGTGTGTATCCTGTGCACACCAGACCCGCAGGGAGGCAAATCCTATGCCTCCTGCTGAGAGGCATCCTTTGAATTATCTGTGATGATGGAGAAGCCTTTGTGTGTGTGTTTGTTTCACCATCTTTCTCTGAAATGTGTTTTTAAAGATTTTTGTAAGAGTCATTTTAAGTGTTTAAGTTAGTGCTGTTTTTCCCTCTTTTTGAAAATGAACTGTACTGTACTTCACTGTGTCCATAGCAGATGTTATGAATTGGGACAGTTTTATCCTCAGACTCATGTGATCCAATCTGTACATACCACATATAAACATTTTACAAGAATCATTTAGTTTTTTAATTCATCTACTAATGCTATACAATTTCCTACATTTACCCCTGGTAACTTACACTTGTTGGTGTATATACAAAAGCTACATGTTTTGGTGAGTTTCTTCTATCCTTGCCTATGAACTTGGGTCAGGAAAACATTCATATCTGTCAGGCTGGGTTTGCTCCATACATCTTTGCTGGGGTGTTAGTTGTATGTCAATCATATGTCAGTTAACTGTCTACCTGCATTCAAGCTATCCATATCTTTAATCCAATAATGTTTTCATTTTAACTGGGAAAGAGTTAAGTATTTTCTGTTAGTTCCCATTTTTTTTAAAGAAAAGTTAGGTTTAATGAAAGGAAGCAGGGATCCAGGAAGTTGCTTTCGCTTCAGTGCTGAGCTCAGTTTTCTACAGTGGATTAGGTAATGGATCAGAACCTTTGTGTCAAGCTCGAAATGACTTAGGACTGTCACTCACTGGCCAAAGATTTCTCATGTCATGGTACTCTGTTAGATGGCTTAACAAAGAAATACACGATCAGGAACATCTTTAGAACAGACCAAAATACGCAGACAGATGGCAGGACAGAAGTTCTGATCCTCCTGGTCGAATCTGCACAACTTTAGGAGCCATGAGAGCCTGCTGAAGCTTTGTCTGCACTCCAGTTGTATGAATCGTACCTTGGAAAACTACTCAGTTGTCTTGGTAACACATAGGCATCCTCTTGTACCTTCCACCACACCCTGGCTGGTCTGTAATTCTGAAGACTGAGAACTTAGTGTTAGGAATAGTCCATGGGCCTCTTTCCCTGGGAAGTGACTGTACCCTCTGCTGTGGAAGTCAAAGCATGAAAACTTTTTAGCCCAAAGTGAGGTCTGAGTAGTCGTCTTATTCTATGACAGGAACATAGGATGACTAAATCAGGGTCACCTGGCATGGGTACTTTCCTCCTGCTGGGCTTTGGGCTTTAGAAGGAACACTTAAGGCTTACAAAATGTTTTCAAGTATTGATTAGCACCTGTGAGTTTGATTAGTGTACCAAATAGATTAAGGCTTTCAAACATATCTTTGAAATGACCTGGGAGAATGTTGTAAACTATTTAAATAATTATGGCTGCATTAATCCATATCAGAGAGGCAAGCATTTGCATATGTTGATCAAATTACCATTTGATGCTGATAAATAATGGAATGCCATTAGATTTAATAGCTGGTTTTTATAAAGAAGTGTTGACATTCATTGTGGTTGGAAAAAATAGGTACTGTGTTCCATGCTTGTGGATGAGATGCTTAATGTATTGTTTGTTTTTTAATTCATGTGGATTATGAACCACATTCATTCTAAATTTTCAGATATGTAGAGGAAATATTCCTTGAAGGTGTGAGAAATTTCTCCCCTTTTAATACTGTTTTTATTCTAGTGTTTCTTATTTAGGTTTTTCAATTAACAGCAAAGTGATAATGCTAGCCCAAATTGTCTTCTTTTTAAAAGCAGAATCATATATATGTTTTAAATGTATGTGTACCTGCTGCTTCTCTGAGGAAATATATAATGTGCAAATACATAGAGAAAAGTGGCAGTGCTTATAACATAGTCTACTTTTTATTGTAGTTTCCATGGAATTCTGTTATTAAATCAAAGTCATGTATGACAAAGCTTTGATAATTTTTTAACTCTTCAAATTATGGTAAATTTCAATCTAGTATTCAAATCATTTTTGTACTCCTATATGTAAAATAAATTATAATGCAGATATTTAAAAAATATTGAGTGAAGGAAGTGAATTCGTTAAGAATTTCTTTTACAGTTTTAATTACAAGTACTATAAAATTGACATATTTTAAAAAGAGTAGACTTGGTATTTCTATTGTTAAAATCTTAGTCAAGACTTTGCTTGCGATTTTTATTAGTTTTTCATCACTACAAATCATTTACAATCTGAATATTTTGGATAACTCCAATCTGTCTCTTGAGTAATGAGTAAAATGCAGTATTCTTATTCCCAGGGTCTATAGTACCTAGAAGTTTTCACAGAGCCATAAATAAGTTGTTGTTGAAGTCAACTTTTCTTTGGGACAGGTTTGGACAGTACAAATCTCAAGGTCTGAAAACATGAGGATTTAGATTCTTTTCTGGGCCCCATTAAACGAAGATGGAATAATCCTAGCAGAAGATACACCTAGAGTATACAGTTGTATGGTAGGAAGATGGACTAGTTGACTAAGAATGCTTGCCATTTAAAGTATTTTGTAATTTTCAAGCCACTTTTATTTAAAATGTGCTTTTAAGTGTGCAGACATTAATTGTAATGCAAACTGTTATACAACCCTCTTTGTGACTTTATAGCCAGGTAAACTTTGGTATAACTCTCGAATACAAATGATACACATTCACCTCGCCACTGTTAGTATCCATTTAATGACAAGGCATTGAAACATTCTAGTGGCTATGAATTTTGAACATGTAAATTACATTTTCTGGGCATTTGCAAATTTCCTGTTTGTAATATTTATTTGGATTCTGAAATGTTGAAAATGTTATTTGCTAGGTGATACGTATCTTTGAGCTATTTCTTAAAAATCTAAGAGGACATGGAAAATATCACAATGTTAGACTTTTCTAATGAAACATAAACCCAAGAATAAAAGCCCCTCTATATTAAAAAGAAAACAAAACACACGGATGAAATCTTTTCAGAGGTGCTCAAACTTTGAAATTGCTTTCATCCATCCAAAATGCTTCGTTTTGTTTTATCTATTCACAGCCAGTTGTGTGATGGAAACGCTCAATGCTGGTTTCCCTGCCGTGTGTGAAGTAATGAATCATTGATTATGTGACTTGTTGTGTATTCTATTAAACACTAAAGAATAAAACATTCACTCCTTTAATTACTCCCTTTGGCTCTTGGGTATGGATTGGCTGGAAAACCATCCTAATTTCAGTTTAGGAGTGTTGGGAATACTGTGACTGCTTCCTTCCACACAGCCGTGGGACAGACTGATGGACGGTGAGCTATGCCTTCCACTGCTGTGGGACTGACTGAAGGATGGTGAGCAATGCTCTCAGGCCAGCAGATCTCATCGAGCCAGTTTCCCGCTGGGCAAGGCTGAGTCAGGCTCTTTTCTCATTGTCAAGAACGCATCACAGGCGATCTGATAGTCATCGCAGAAGAGAAGTCTTTCACAAGCCATTTCTTTAATCTCAGTCTTTGCAGCCACGGTTGTGTAAGGGAAGATGATACAAATGCCCGCTTTAAGTGAGAAGGGACAAGGTAGTAGACTCTGCGAGGTTTGTCTGAAGTGAAAGTACAGTTCATGAAGAGCATGAGGTCCTGGAGTGTTGGATAGGAACGGTTGTCTGTCTGCTGAGAGGACTGTTTGCAGCACTGTTTCCAGACTTTGAAGTTTCTGTTCTCCAAAGACAGCCCAGTGCCACCCTGACTAGGAAATTACAGAAGCTGGGTTATAGCCAGGAAGCTGGGAGCAAGGTGGATAGTGCGAGCCAGGTTTCGCCCTTCCTCTTTTGCCTGTACTTCCTCTGGGTAGCTTTTGTTTTGTATAGATAAACACACATGATTTATTTTTGAAAATGTCATAGATATGACAAAAACCTTTGGCACTGCAAGAATGTAGCTGGGAAAGAAGACTCCCCTTTCTAACCTCTAGATTCTCCCAGAGACAACATCCAGGGTTTTTTCTGCCCATGAAACCCTAGTGATTCACAACCCTTCCCTTTTCTGAAGCACTGCCTCTTCCAAGCTATCCCTCTTGTTTCGTGTGACACATGGACATGTGGCAGTGATCTGTCTCGGTTTCTAAGCGTTCCATGATGTTCTTGACGATGTGCTATTGTCCAGATGGGCTGCAGTTTTTAATTCGTCATTTATTGACGAGAATTGAAGTCTAGGAACTTTTTTTTTTCCTGCTCAAAAGAATCTGTATTGAATGTGTTTCTATGTGCATGAAAATATACATGTGTAGTTTTTTTTTTAATGGAGTGATGTTAGTACAAAACAGGACTAAGGTCTGGAGAGAGTTTTTTCCCCCCTTAGAGACCTAAAATTCAGTTCTCTGACTTACGACCATTTAACTTAAGATTTTTAAACTTTGGATAATACAAAAGCGTTCAGTATATACATATTTAATGGAAACCTAACTTAGGATTTTGATCCCCCCAGATTAGTGTTGTGTGGCATAATACTGTCTGTGACACTGAGCAGTTGACAATGAGCTACAGATCTCAAGTCCAGTGCCTGGTGATAATGGTGACGCCAATCCTCTACAGTGCATTATTTTGCCAAGCCATTGTGTTCTTTAGTTATAGGTATTACTTAAGTCCACGTTGTTTTAAAGTTATCGTAATTTCAACCTAGAATGGGCTTATTTGGCATGTAAACCCATAAATCAAAGGGTGCCTAACTGTATTCTTTTTGAAAAGTTTATTTATCTATTTATGTATTTACTTACTTATCTGTTTATTTATTTGCATGAGTGTTTTGCCCGTGTGTAGGTGTGTGCACCATGGGCATACAGCTCCTGCAGAGACCAAAGGAGGATGTTGGATCATCTGGAAGTGTGGTTACAGGTGGTTGTGGGCCACTCTGTGAGTGTTGGGAACTGCGACTGTGTTTTCCGTAAGGGCACCCAGGCTTTTAACTGGTATGCCATCTCTCCAGTCCCTCTTGATTCAATGTAGTGCTTGAAATCCCAGCCAGTGCAATAAGTCAAGAGCAGTAAAAGTGAAAATAGGGCAGGAAGAAGCAAAGCTACCACTGGTTGTAGGCATTCTATTCTTAGAAGACCCTGAAGACTCCACTGGTAAACTCTTTGATCTGGCAAATACTTGAAGAAACAAACAAACAAACACACACACTGGATACAGAATCAAGCTGTACAAGTATGTAGCTTTCATATGTACCAAATATTTCTTGCCAAGAAATCATAAAACATGCCACTCCCAGTCGCGTATACATGCGTACATACGCACACACATACCTAAGAATAAAGTTAATCAAGGAGGCACAGATCTTCTGCAATGAAAATCTTAAAACACTGAGGAAATCACTAGAAGACAGAAACAGTATCTGGAGAAGTACCTTTGGAGGCCAGAAAGGACATCAGACGACCAGGAACTGGAGTTGCATGCAGTTGTGAGCCAGCTGACATGGGCACTGAACCTGGGTCCTCGGGAAACAGCAGCAAGTGCTCTTAATTTTGAGCCATCTTTCCAGCCCTGATACTTGACTTTTAGAAGTGTATGCGTGTACAGGACTTAAGTAGCTCCAAATCAAATGTCCCTTTAGGACAAAATGTACCTTGCCATTTGCAGATTTCCTAAAAGTATTTAGAAAGGCCCGTAAAGCCATTTTAGGCCACTAACTCGTCAATTGGCTCCTGCAGGTTTCCTCTTCCAGTTGTAACCATTCATTCATTCAAAATCCCCTGAGTGTACACCATGGATCAGACTGAACCAATCTGACAGGAACCCAAAAATGAATAATATATAAACAATACCATGATAAAGTAACTCGAACATTTATTATTAAGATAGCTGGAACAACTACGGAAGTCGGAAAGAGAGATATATAAGAAAAAATTAAAACCCTATACATTTTATATTGCTGAAGGATAAAAGGTGAAGGAGAGGAAGGATAGTGAGGAAAGAGGAAGAAGGCCTGTTAAGTGCAGGCTGGCTCGTGAAGACAGACAAAGAGCTAGTTCTGTGAAATAGCCATCTTGTTGAAACTTGATCTACAAAACCCAGTACCACCATCATCACCACCACTTCCAGTATTACCGTCACCATCACCACACCTCACCACCATCAACACTATTTCTGCCATTACCACCACCGTCATTGCCATTATCACCACCACCATCACCATCACCACCACTGACAACGTCCCTATCATTACTCTCAGTGCTAGCAACACCAACGATACTATCACCACCACGACCCTCCTCCACCACAATAATCACCATCATCACCACAACACTCATTCTATTATTACCCGACATATAAACAAAACGAAAAAGAAAGTAATGACTCAATGTGTAACTGGGGGTCTGGATTTTTCCAGTATGCCCACAAAGGTTGTCTGTCATCTTGGTGCCCTGGTGGGGAATGTCCTTCTGTACATATGTTTGTCTTATTAGTTGATTAATAAAACACTGTTTGGCCAATAGAGGCAGGAAGACAGGCAGGACTAGGAGACAAGGAGAATTCTGGGAAAGGTAGGTGGAGAGAGACCGGGAAGAGATGCCATGTAACTGCCAAAGGAGTAACAGGTCCGGGCATTCTCCGGTAAGCCAAGACCACGTGGAAATACATAGATTTATAGAAATGGGTTAATAATTAAGGCAGAGCTAGTCAATAAGAAGCCCTAGCCATTGGCGAAGGTTTTAATAATTAATGTAAGCCTTTGTGTGTTTATTTAGGGCTGAAAGACAGAGCGACACGGTGGGACAAGAGACTCCAGCTACAGTGCCCAGAAAGTAGGGACATGGGCTCCTGGGGGCCAGCTCGTTAGCTTGACAAACCATATTGGTGAGTTCCAGGTTCAACAAGAGACCTTGTCCCAGAAAATCAAATGGAGAACAATTGAGGAAAACACCTGGTGTCCACTCTGGCCCCCATATGCTCATGCACAAACATGCCCCCACATATATTTGTAAGACAACACACACATGTGGAAATTCTCTCACAACTCTTGTCTGACTTAAGTTCAATTCACTTAAAAAGCCGCAACTCAATAAACACAAACATAAACACAAGCAAAATAAGAAAAAGACCCAGACTAAAACAGCCCACAAACCAACTACCACCAATGAAAAATGTGGAGGGAGGAGGAGCCAGTCTGAGCCAGTCAGAGCTAGTCAAATCCAGCCTTATCTAGCCTATTAAAGGATCTGCACTCTTGTTCTTGGGATTTATTGAAGAATTTTGAGCAATGGTGTAATAATCTGCGTGAAATTATTCATGTAATTCCACGTGTGGGGCTGAGTGCAAAAGAAACCAGAGGCTATTTAGGAGATGATTACAGGAGCTCATGTATGGGGTCACACTCAGCTACAGGCAGATCATCTGGTCAAAGTGTTGTGTGAGGTTTTATTCATCTTTCTTTTGAGTCTTTCAGATTAGACAATTTATATGCATGAGAACTGCTTGCAACAATATTGGTCATGCCCTGTTTGAGTGAACCAGTCTAATTATTCAAGAGAAACAGGGTTTAAAAAAACTAGTTTTGAGAATAGCATACCATGAATTTTGATCATATTTACCCTTCCTCCAACTCTTACTCAAACTAACATAGCAATCTCGTTTCAGGAATTTCTCAGGTTGACTAAGAAGTAGGCAACTGGACAATTTAGGGATCTTGTATAACTATCAGAAATTATAGAAAAATTTGAATCTCTACTCCATACACCTTGGAGTTTGATGAACATTACTGCGGCCTTCACAATTCTATTAAATGTATTCATTTCAGCCTTTACTAATTAATGGCCTGAATGGCTTTTTTGTCTATTATGTATATCCACTATAGTTTAGTTAGGGTTTGTATGCCACAACAAAACACCATAACCAAAAAGCAAGTTGGGAAGGACAGGGTCTACTTGACTTACACTTCTACATTATAGTTCATCATTAGAGGAAGCCAGGACGGGAGCTCAAACAGGGCAGGAACCTGGGGGCAGGAGCAGATGCAGAGGCCATGGAGGGATGCTGCTTACTGGCTTGCTTGACTTGCTCAGCCTGCTTCCTATAGAACTCAGGACCACCAGCCCAGAGAAGGCCCCACCCACCATGCGCTTAGTCCTCACCCATCAATCACTAATTAAGAAAATGACCTATAGCCAGACCTTATGAAGGTATTTTCTCAATTGAGGTT